AAATCCACACATGCAGATGAATCAGCTTTAACAATTAGTCCTGCAGCCCCGACACTTGGGACCACTATGCTCCAATACCTTAAGAGCTTAAACTGTGTATACTCTAGTAAACATACGAGTGTAAACTGTGTCAACGTCAGGCGATCCGAAACCCTAGGACAACGCCGATCAACGCGTAACCCTAGGTCAACGACGGTCAACGCGTTATGACAAAGGTCAAACACCGGTCAACGCGTAACCCTAGGTCAACACCGGTCAACATGTTATGACAAAAGTCAACGTACGATGATCTAAATCCTAAAGTCAACGCCGACCAACGCGTAACCCTAGGTCAACGCCAGTTAACGCATTACGACCAAAAGTCAACGCCGAGTGATCCGAAATCCTATGTTAACACAGGTCAACGCGTAATCCTAGGTCAACGCCAGTCAACGCGTTGTAATAAAAAAGTTAACTTACAGCGATCTGAAACCCTAAGTCAACACGATACAACGGAGGTAGTCAGTTCTAAGTCAACTCAATGACACAAGCCAAACTCAACTCATCAGTTTTAGATTCGAGACTCCGACGACGGCCAGACAATAAACGAAACGCCGAAAGAACTTCAGCTATTCGTCAAAGTATTAAAGAGATTGAAAATCGAAGGAGTCAAGAATTGAAGCTAACTACAGGTCCTTTACGTCGACCGAAGGCTGGACCAATCACATCCAAAGTATTCCAGCCTCTTCTATAAAAGAAACGAGTCCGGAACGCTTTGGAGGGGGTATCTGTAGGCGTCAAAAGTTACCTATAGGTCTCCACGAACAGCTCGAAGCTAAGAGAAGATGATGAATATCACTATCCAAGTCATGGAAGCTTGATTGACGTCGACAAACGCTTGAAGTGAATCAACGAACTACGTGAAGCAACAGAGTTTCAGAATAACGAGGATACGAACTGACCGGAAGCTTCGTGTTGCTTACAAAAGGTGAAACGCCCTTCGTGTATCATTTATTCCATAGATGACCCAATCATGAGAGCCTGTAGATCTCCTCGTCAGCTTTCCAACACACTTTGAATCACTCAAATCCGAGTTCAGATGAATAAGTTACGGAGAAAATGGATAAACACGCAAAACGGATTGTCTCAGCCTAAGCTAAGACACCCCGAAGTGTCTCGGCACGGTGGGAGACACCCTAAGGTGTTTCGGCCACCCTAAGGTGTCTCGACCAAGGCCGAGACACCCAAGGGTGTCTCCATTCTCGTTGAGACACCCAAGGGTGTCCGCAGCCCTAAAAAGTTATTTTTTCTGCTGTTATGCAGTTTTAACCGCCTAGATTCTCTGGAGCTTATAAATACAGCCCCAGGGCCCTCATTTTTAGAGATCTGGAATTCTCGAGCGTTGGCGAAGCCCTGCCGGATTGAAGATCAAAAGTACATGAATTTGAGAGAGGAGGAGGAGTAGAGATCTGATCAAGTTCGTCGGCATAAAGAAGAGGAGCTCGTCAGATCTGCAGTTCCCCGGGTCCGTTCCTTAAGATTATCCCGTTGCGATAATCTTAAGAAGAGTAATTATCTCGCCGTTGCCGAAATAAGCGCTACGGTTTCTTGATTCCTTCGCGAATCAACGAAGTTCTGCCCGATTTTTCAGTAATCAGATCTGATCGACGGTGGTCCACGGATATCAACATCCCCGTCACAGGCCAAGATCCCACGCAAGCAGCGGGCGATAAACACCCGTTGCGTTTGTTTGAAGAGAGTTGTATTTTTTTTATTTTATTTTTTTATTGTGTAAGAAAGTCTTATGAAAAGACTAATTTTATATTGAATCTGTAATCGATAAACGTGTAATAGATTCAGCAATGAAGAAATCAATTTTCACCGCAAACAATTATATATAATGGTCATTAGTCGACTATACTGTAATCAAACAGAAATTTCATAGAAACTTGAAATTTTTTTTTGCCTTCAGTAGTAGACTATAAAGTCAATTAGTTGACTACACTGTAAACTAACAGAAACTTATATTTTAGTTATAAGTTTGAGTAGTCGACTACTATTCTAATTAGTCGACTATATTGTAAACTAACAGTAACTTATATTTCAGACATAGACTTGAGTAGTCGACTACTATTCTAATTAGTCGACTACTAAGGATTAAAATGATATAAATTAAATGTTTTGACGCTCAATTATTAACTATAAACTCTAATGGTTAACATAAAGGATTTTTATAGTTAACCAACACACTAAGCATGTATTAGTGTGTTCTAATTTCTATGTGTGTGTATGTGTGAGTGATCAAGACTTGTACAATATTTCTAAGTAAAGAAAAATGTAAAAAACAATTACATTGACGTATATGTTCTTTATATCTTCTTTACTTCATAATGCCTTGAACTCATCTTGCACTTGTTCATATTTGATATTGAAATCTGCATATAAATGTTAGTGCATTTGTATAACACACATAGTATAAATTGTTATCATCAAAATAATATCTTGGAGACATGATATTCAACAGTATGTTCTAAGTGAAGTATATAATTTTATTTATAATTCAAAATCTTGAGACTTATTCAAAATATGATGCTTAAAATTTTTCATATCTCTTGTACTATATAAATATACGCTAAGCCTCTGACCTCATATTATACGATGTATATTATTTATCAAAGGGATCACATACTATTGCTTGTGTTTAACAAATGCTTCAAATCTTTATAGGCTTAATTAAATATAAATAGCTTACAACTTACGAATGTTACACTCATATAGCTCCACTTATATCTTAATGTACTTAGATATCCTAATATTTTCTAAATTGCATGTTTGTACTTATGTACGCAAGAATACTCTTTATAATTTTCCTATGTGAGTGCCACAATATAATTTTAGGACAATTCTATATTTTATACTCATTCCAAAATAATTTATTAATTTACAATTGTCTATCAATATAGTATTATGCATTATTAATAATTAATATGAGAGTTTTACAATAACATTGGAAGTTTTAGGGCCAAATTAGACAAAATTGAAGTGACATGTAATATGATTAATTAATAATGATAATTAATTTAGCTAATTTATGATTAAGATATAATATCAAAAAGAATAGGGGCTAGTTCATGAAAAGTTTTTTCACAACTCACTCTTTTAAAGGGAGTATGATTTGATAAATAAAAAAGGATATAAAAAAATATCGACGCTCCATGTTATCACGATACTAAAAATATCTTTTTGATGTAGGAACTATGAAGATTTTACTAACTAGAAAGGTCTCATCTAATGTTAATATTTTATTTTAAAAATTTTGAAATTTGATATCCATAAAAAAGGCTTAAGAATCTAAATATTTATTACAAGAATAATTTTAGAGAACCCATTAGTATTTTAATATAATTATTAGAAAATATCAGATAAAGCAAGGAGAATACGAGATAATATTTTGTGCAATTTACATAATTAATTTGTTTATTTTTTTTGGATCATAGGAACTATTTTATAATATTAAAATTTTTAATTTATCTTTAAATGTCATATATTATTTATGATGTCTTATGTTCTATTACCATTTTAAAAAAGAGATACAGAGAAATGAGAGAATCTCTCTTGATAAAAATCAACAAGTACATGATATCAAATCAATAAATAATAAAATATAATAAATTCATCAACAATATTTTAAAAGGAACTAATTCATCAACTTTAAATATAATTTGACATATGTAAGTTTAGAAGAATCCCTCAACTATGGTGGATGTCTTAGAAAACCCCTCTCAACTATTTATTTGTGAATACTACCCTAAAGTTTGGGCATATTATAGATAACTCCACTCAATTTTGAGAATCCGAGAAAACCCCTTCAACTATAGGGTGTCTCATAAAACATCCCTAATCTTTCACACTTTTCTCACCAAACCCCTTGAAGTCATTTTAAAATATAAAATAACTGAAATATCTTTCTCAAATTAAAATAGTTGAGGATGGTTCTCTAACACACATCTCATATTTGAGAGGGGTTAAGCGAAGAATGTTTAAGGAGTTATCGAGACTCCTTCTATGAGGTTTCTTCGTTAATTTATATTTAAATATGTAATTTTGAGATTTTTTTTTAATTATAGATAGTTATAATGCGCAAAGGATTATAAAATATTTGATTATTAAAATTTTCTAATTATAGATATTACTAATTTAAAGAGAATTTTTAGGTGAACATAACACATGTCATCTTCTCATAGCCATGTGGATACTTATTATATGGCCTATGTCAATTTTTTGTGTCTTTGTAATACAACACATGTCAAATTTTCTATCCTTTTAGGAACTCCACCAATTTCTATTTATATATTAAGGAGGGATATCATATATTACGTATGAAATTAATGAGAATTTAAGAGCATAAGAGAAACTTTTAGATAAAAACATCGCATCATTGAAATCTGATTATTGTGCAATCACCAACTTTTAAAATATGTACCGGCCGGGACACTTGTTAATTTCCCACCTACTTTGAACTACATATAGTTTTCACATGTACGACACATGGAAACTCCCCTGCAGAAAGTCACAAACGGAGGAAACGGATGGTGACTTTTCCCATAAGAAACTTTTCCCAAGTTAGCCTCAGGCTTCATAAGAAACTTTTCCCAAGTTTCGAGAATCTTGTGGAAAACTCCCCAATTAGTATTTGAGGAGAGATTTCTCTAATTTCCAAGTTACGTGTGTCGGCATCAGACAAACAAACGGTTGCAATCAAGAAACTAATTACAAAAGCGAGGAGCGCAAGCAATCGAGGCCCGGATCGAGAGGAGAGACTACGACGGCAGAGGGCGGGGCCCCCCGTCAATAGAAAAATTATGCCTTTGGCCGACTGAAGCCGCTAGTGACGCACTCAGACGCCGTCACCTTGACACGCGCACCTTGGAAACTCGACTTACGCACGCTACCTCCTCGATCAATCTCAATAAACCCTTTAAAAAAGTTTTTCTGGAGAGAGAAAAAAAATTTAATTTTGTGAGAGAGAGAGAGAGAGGATGAGCGGAAACGGGAAGGTTGTGTGCGTGACAGGAGCATCAGGGTACGTAGCATCGTGGCTGGTGAAGATCCTCCTCGGTCAGGGTTACACCGTCAAGGCCTCTGTCAGAGACCCCGGTAAAATTTCATTTTAAACCCCCTAATTAATTAGATGTGGTTTTACCGGCCGCAATCTTTTGTTTTTTTGGAAAGATTTGTTGTTTCTGGTTCGGATGTGATTGGCTCGGATCAGGGGTAGGGATGATCAGTTTGTTTTGTTTGATCAAGGGGAACATCGGAACAAATCTTGGTATTTATAAATAAAACCTCGAAAAAAAAATCCCGGTTAGAATTAACCTTGGTTTAATTTGTTTAATTTCACTACATTCGTTTGGGAAAATAGGGAAGGAGAGACGGAGGAATTGTAACTAACAAGAGGGAGGATTTTGTTGGGTTACTGAGGATAGTGTTGTTTTTGTAATGGGTCATTTGCATATATATCCTTTAAATCATGGGTATTTGCAACATAACCCTCCAAATCTTAATATTTGCAAAAATTCTCCTAAAATCATTAATTTCGAAAAAATTTACCCTCAAAGCAATAAATCGTAAGTTTTGACAACCTAATTAGTAATCGCAATGTTAAAAATTATCAATAGAATAGTTCAAAATTTCAGCACCAAATTGATGACCTGTTGATTTTAAGGGTACTTTTTCATAAAGTTGATGATTTGAGGGTTAATTTCGCAAATACTAAGATTTGAGGGTATTTTTGTAAATACCCTTGATTTAAGGGGTATATATGCATATAACCCTTTTGCAATTTCCCCCATGTGGTTTAGAGTTGACCATGCTTGGGTAAAGATTTGGATGGAAATCATTCATGACTGGCTTTTTGATACAAGTTAAAAGATGGTGGCTGTCATCTAGACAATCCAAAGGATTTTGGGGGGGGGGGGGTCTAATTCAAGAATGAAGAAGTTCTGGGATCTTCATAGCGAGTAAAAAACTCTACTCAAAAATGGGGATCCCTATTGATTGCTGCGCGATTGTTATTTTTCTCGAGAAGCGTAAAGCCTTTTTGGGATGCTCGCGTGAACCGCGAGCGCCCTAACTCGCAGAGGGGTGACCATGGCAGGTCCTGCCCCTGTACCCCCTCTGCGAGTTGGGTGGCTCGCGGTTCACCCGCGAGCCAAAAAGCAGGATTCTTCTCGAAAGGAAAGATTCCACCATAACCCCTTTTTGGGTTAATTGCAGATAGATCCCCTTAGTTCTAGTATTGCGGATAGACACCCGGTTCTATTTGCCCAAGTGCGGATAGAAACCAAAGTGATTTTTTTTTCACACTTAAAAAGATAATAATAATAAAAGTTAACTGGGGGGTCTATCTGCAGTTAGGCGATAGTACTGGGGTCTGACCGCAATTGACCAATCCCCTATTTGGCTTGTAGTTTTCTAATCGTTTCTGATGCCGACTTTTTTGCTTTCATCCAAGTAGAAATTAAAGACAAGTTAAAAGTCAACGTACACAATGCTGAATGGTTCTGCGGACGTTTTCATTAATTTATAAGAATGCAATCCGTATACTGTAGAAGGTAAAAACCTTTTAAGGTAGAACTATCTCCATCATCATGGGGGTATATTACAAGTAAATGATGCAAGTACTTCACAATCCAAACTTTTTTTTGTGATGCTTAATGCTGTGGCAATGTCGCATATTCTAGATTTCGCTTTAGATCAAGATGTTTTTCGCTTTGCTTAGGGCCCGTTTGGTTCATTAGGTGAAAGTTACTGTAGTTAGGAAACCAGGTCGAAAACCGACTCTGACAGTTACAGTAACTTTCGCCCAAAAATACCATATTTTGAGGAGATACGGTCAGAAGCTGCCACATTAGATTTTTAACTACCACATCAGTATTTTTTTTTGCACAACCAAACAATGTAAACAAGTAAAAGTTATTATAACCTGACGGCTACAGTAACTTTCAAACAAAAACAACCCAACCAAACAACCCCTTAGTGGCATTAGACCTTCCCCCTTGCAATGAGGTCTACGCGTGGGTTCCACGTGCTCATAACAATAATTAAGGAAAAGGGATCCTAAATTCATAACAACAATTCGGTATCTTATCTTTTCTCTCTCCTTCTTAACCAATGCGTCTGAGTTACCTCTTGTAGCCGATCCAAAGAAAACAGAGCACTTGCGTGCACTGGATGGAGCCGACGAGAGACTGCGTTTGATTAGAGCAGACTTATTGGAAGAAGGCTCTTTCGATTCTGTGGTTGACGGGTGTGAAGGCGTCTTTCACACTGCGTCCCCATTCTTTGATGTGCTCACAAATCCAGAGGTTCGACAGCACATAACCAATGCGTCCAGTTCCATATGAGTTTTGGTAAGCTACAACGGTCCGGTCCATTACTGATTCGGTTTTCTTTATTTTTATTTTCCAGGACGAGTTAATTGAGCCGGCAGTGAAGGGAACCCTTAACGTTTTGGGTTCCTGCTTCAAGACTCCATCTGTGAAAAGGGTTGTCGTAACCTCATCGGTCGTTGCCTGTTTATTTACCCGATGTGGTAGCCGACGAGACATGGTTTTCTAGTTCTGAGTTTTGCAAGGAAGCAAAGGTTTGTGCATGCAGATATCATTTCTCTACACAATTACAGAAATATTTGTCCTATAGATAGTTTTTACAAATAGGAGTTGGAAATATTATCTGGGCTTATCATTTTTTTTTTTTTTGATTTGCTGACCCTTTTACTTCTAATAGTTATGGTATATGCTGTCGAAGACCTTGGCAGAGGAGGCTGCTTGGAAGTTTGCGGAAGAAAATTCGATAGATATGGTTACTATAAACCCTGCCATGGTTATAGGTCCACTTCTTCAGCCAACCCTTAACACAAGTTCTGGTCTAATCTTGAGCCTGATAAATGGTATGTTATGATGTATCTCGCTCGTGAAAGGTTTAGTTTCTATGAATATTATCTCCTTTAGGGCTAAATTGAAGTCAAATCCTACATTCGGTTGATTGCGGATAGGCCCGCTACGCCGTTGCCCAATTGCGGATGGACCCCTATAGTTTTGTTGTTGCATATATAACCCCTGAGCAAACTTTTTCGACTCTTTTTGCCGTCAGAGAAAGAGATAATATTTTTTTCACAAATAGACCTTCTGAGGGTAAAAGAGTAAAAAAAAAATTCACTCAAAGGATTAACCCACAATTGGATGATAGGACATGGTGTCTATCCGCAATTAACCCTACTAGATTCTTGGTTCTCAGTGTCAAATAACTTGTTTTATCTGCATCCGATCCGACTGTTGCAGACTTTGACAGAGTACTGGATTTCTTCTCCCCTATATACATGAAACTTACCTGTTCTATCTGCAAAGTTATCTCCAAATTAAACACATCATATGTTGAGCGGGGGTATTATGTCAATTTATGATGGTTCCATTTAATTTATTTGCAGGAGCACCGACATACCCCAACTCAACCTTTTGTTGGGTAAATGTCCAGGATGTTGCCAAGGCTCATATCCTAGCCTATGAAGTTCCTACAGCAAGTGGAAGATATTGTTTAGCTGAAAGTGTCGCTCACTGTTCAGAGATTGTGAAGATTTTGCAAGAACTGTATCCTTCTCTTCAGCTCCCTCAAAAGTAAGTTAATTGTATATAATACATTTCTTATCTTTAACAACAAAATATTGCATGGTATTGGAATTAATGATAAAGAGAAGGAAAACTCCTTTATTTAACATTTTGATCGATTTTGATGTTCTCGATATTTTTACAAAATGGTGATCTGCTGTTGGTATGGCCCTCTGCACTTGGTGCTTTACCGTCAACTAGATGCCATATGTAATATGCAATCTATGGATTAATACAATACTATATGCCTGTGTGTGTAATAGTCATTCTACCATATCATGTTTATAATTTTCTGCTGGCTTGTGTGTGTATTTGTACTTATATCGTGTTTGTGTAACAACTTCGGACCGAAGATACCCTTTAAGTCGTAGTGATGAATTCCCAAAGTTCATGAGGGGTACTGTTTTGTGAATTTTAGCCTAGAAGTTTACTCACAGTTTGTTTTGTTTCAACTCTTGCGCTACATGGAATATGAATAGAATGTTTCATTTTCCTATTTTGAACTACAGTGTTCATGTTACATGTGTGTTCTATGTGCCACATAGTGAAACCCTTCAGTGTATCTGAAAAATCCTAACTGTTCTCTTTATAGAAAGCCATGTAGCGAGGAGGTAGATCGCCATAACGTGTTTCCTACTCTCAATTCGAAATTGGTGCAATATTAATACGACAATATGTTAGTATTTGTTTGTAAAAAACAAGATAGTCCCACATTGGAATTTTGAACATTCTTTTAGAGGTTTAAAAGCATTGAATGCTTATTGGGCTTTGAATAATGGATCAAAGTGTAGGCTTCTAAACCCGCGTGCGGGTAGCGCGAATAATGCGTGATTATTAGACGCACTTAGCACGCTTTCCGCTGCCGCTTAAATGTTCTATTTTTTATATATTGAATATATATATATATATATATATATATATATAATGTTATTTTGAATTTAAAAAAAAATATGAAAAGACAAGTGACTGTTGAAAAGTGGCTGTTTGCTCCAAGGGGTGTTTTGAAAAGTTGTGACTGTTGGAAGCACCTTTTTAAACCTATAAATAGCTTATGTTTTCAGATATCTATCTATAATTCTTTTCTGAATCTTTTCTATCAAAAACTTCTGTAATATTACAAACTTGTTTCACAACGAATTAAGAAAAATTCCAGATTTGCTTACTGGAATTTTTAATTTCTGTTGTATCCTGGGAAGAAAATTTGCATTAACCCGAAACAACTTTGAATGTCAAGTGGGGGCAAATATTTCTTTAAGGAAAGTGTTTCACACCTCAGATTTTCTATCTCCTTCAATTTTAAAAATAACACAATATCTGTGCGATCAATAATACTGTATAGGTGCAATCAGACTGTTGTACAAGTGAATTACCGATTTAAAGTCTATACTGGGAACACTTGTTGTGATCTCCCTCTCTGCATGATTTTCTATATAGCGCCCTCTATATATAGGATCTTATTTTTCTCGCTCGTTTAGGTTTGTGTAACTAATACAATGCATTCTGGCTGTGGACAGGTGCGCTGATGACAAGCCCTTCATGCCAACATACCAAGTTTCCAAAGAGAAGGCCAAGAGCCTCGGTATCGACTTCATCCCTCTTAAAACAAGCCTCAAGGAGACTGTGGAAAGCTTAAAGGAAAAGGGGTTTGTGACCTTTTGAGAAGGAAACTGACAACTGCATTTGAAAAACAAAAGATATATTGCATATATTGTTATTCACAGCATCAGATTATACTTTGAATATCGATATTGGTTGTCGCTTAGAATAATCCTATTTCTGAATAAATCAGACTTGAATTTCTCTGTATTTTTTTGAGCGTATTGACAAAGGTCTGCTTCTGTAGTTGTCATTTGCTTCATTCTCGAAGATTGCTTGAAAAATAGGACTAACTTTTCCCAAGAATCAAAAGAACAAGCGAGGAAGTTTAGTATTGTTTTGTTCTGTAAAAGTTTCAACCTAGTCTTCTGAAAAATGGTATTGCTCAGGGATGTTTTGTGCAAAAGAATCTTGAAATTTGTCTGAAAACTCGATGCCGATCAACAAGAGTTTTAAGCCATAAACTATACCAATTATAACTTAGATTCATTCTTTATGATCAAAGATTGGGAAAAAATCTCATAGATGCATACCATGCATAAAAATATACTTTACGAATGGGCTTCTTGTGTGCTTGTTTTACCTTTTAATCTCCTTCTAATCCCCTTCAGAGGATTTTTTTTTTCTAAATTACGACCAAGAAGATTGCATATTTTCCAACTCTTCTCACGTAAATCCAAGGGCTTAACAACTTGGCCTAGATAACAAGGTCCTCTGTCTCCAATTTTCTAGTCCCTGTTCACCTTGACTTTGTCAACAACCCCATCCACTCTCCCCTAAGACCTCCAAGACTTCAGGGAAGTTCTGCGTAAATTTACAAAAAAAAAAAGTAAGGAAATTTTCAGAAACTCCCTTCAACTTGGCTTGGTTTTGCACATAAAATCCTGTTTTTTTATAAAGTCTTTAGTTATTTGTCTTTTAAAGGCAATGTGCACTACTCCCCTAATTCAGAGTTTTTTCTCCTAAAGAAATTTTACTTATTTGCAAATTACAATGTGAGAGTTCCGTGAGAAAAGTTTAAGCTCATAGGGATTTCTTTACTAAAGTTCAGGCGGGTTTTGTGAGGTAAACGAAAAACGTTTAGAGGGGTTACGTTTAAAATGCCCACATGTCAGGGGGTTATGTGAAAATAATAACCCAAACAATGTTATAAACTTCTAGATAAAGAAAAATTGCCAACGATATCCTAGTACGTGACACGAACCATTATCTATCACCGCGTACTATAATTTGAATTCCATACTCCTAATGCGACACAAAGTTTAGAATTCTGATCTTTTGCACAATACCTCCCCCTATAAAAACCCACATTCATCTCAATAGACCCTTATAAATTTTTTTAGAGAGAGAAAGAAAGAAATTTATAGAGAGAGAGAGAGAGGATGAGCGGAATCGGGAAGGTGGTGTGCGTGACAGGAGCGTCAGGGTACGTAGCATCATGGCTGGTGAAGCTCCTCCTCGGTCAGGGTTACACCGTCAAGGCCTCTGTTAGAGACCCCGGTAAAATTTCATTTTAAACCCCCTCCTCAGTTTTTTTTTTCAATTAGAACCAGGTTTTTCACAATCTTTTGTTTTAAGTTCTCTACTAGGATAGATTACTTCTTACGGTCAAGGTTGTGATTGATTGAGACGAGTTTTCGATTACTTTTAGGGGTTGTTTGTTTCTATAAAATTTTTGGAGACTTTTAAGGGCCCGTTTGGTTGCTTGTTTTTGAGGGGGAAAGTGACTGAAAGCTGTCACAGATGTCCCATCTGTGGCAGCATCTGTGACAGCTTTCAGACAAAATCACCTCCAAAAGAGGCAAATTTACCTGAAAGCTGTCACATATGAGATATTTGTGGCAGCTTTCCCCTTCAAAATAACCCAACCAAATGAGCCCTAAATCATTGGAATGAGAATTGTGGCCCACAAGTTTAAACTCGTGAATTTTATCAAATTGATTGACAGTTTGGAATTAGGATTGCCATGTTGTTTTAATGCATTAAATGTGATCCGTGAAAATTCCGGTGTGTGATTTCATTTATACATCCTTAACAAAATTTATGTACAATCAAACATAAATTTTAATAATTTTAATCTAATCGATCACTCTCTTGGTTCTCTAAGCTTCCTCCCCTCTTTCCCATAATATTTTTAGTATTCAATTAACTTGAATCTTTATTCCTTGATCTGCGTCTCTCCTCCAATGATACCTTGGAATTAACCATGTCTTTATTTTTTGAACCAAAATAGTGTGATTTCATAACTAAATGTGCTCAAGCCCAAATCCATAGGAATTTTTAATAGGAATTTTTTTAAAATGGACCAGTTTTGCTAAATATTTAGCAAAATAGACCACTTTGTTAAATATTTAACAAAACAAACCTCTTTTTGGCCAATAGGTCAAAAAGAGGTCGATTTTAAAAAACAAGGCTCAGAAAACATACGGGACTATTAGTCCCGTATGTTTTCTGAGCCTTGTTTTTCAAAATGACGGTGATTAAGTTGGCTCTAAACATGCGGGACTAGTAGTCACGTATGTTTTCTAAGTCCTGTTTTTTAAAATCGACCTCTTTTTGGCCCATTGACCAAAAAGATGTCTATTTTGCTAAATATTTAGCAAAGTGGTCTATTTTGCTAAATATTTAGCAAAAATGGTCTATTTTAAAAAATTCCCCATACTTTAATACACTTTTTTAAATCTATCATGAGGTAATAATGATAACCGCTTGAGTTTAAGCACTCTTAATACTCACAAATAAGATCTTTTTGACAAATTATCACTTGTATTCTCAAGTAGAAGTATAATCTTTTCTGGTTCTCTCCTTTGCTATCATTGATATCATCATGTAGAAATTAATCACAATATTAAATAATCAATCTGTATCATGCTGGATGATTTTTTTTAAAATGGTTTCAATATTTTCTTTCAATTATAGAAGAATGTAAATCCGTACACTGTAGAAGGTAAAAACTCACATATAATAATTCCGCCTCGGATCAAATATTCTTTTGTTTGGAGATAAAACAACAGAATAGGTCTCCGATACTTTGCTTTGCTGTATTAAACCGTTGCTTGCATCCAGATTTACCTGTGCTCTCCACATATTCGTCACAATAATTGAGCAAGGGATGCTTAATTTTTATATGCTTTCTTGATTTCAGATGGTATTTTTCTTTATCTCTTGCGCATTAAATTATCATTTAACATCAAGTGAAAATGTTTGTATTAGGTTTTGCAGGGGTACTTTCTTTTAAAGCCTATTACCTATATGGGACAGCTTTGCATTTCATGAATCCTGTCTAATTGACAGTTTTTCAAATTTCTTAATTAATTCATTTGCATTGCATGTTTTAGCTGATCCAAAGAAAACGGAACACCTTCGTGCACTGGATGGAGCCAGTGAGAGATTGCATTTGGTTAAAGCAAACTTATTGGAAGAAGGCTCTTTCGACTCTGTGGTTGATGGGTGTGAAGGTGTCTTTCATACTGCATCTCCATTCTTTGATGCGGTCGCTGATCCAGAGGTTCACATCCTAATCTTTGTTAAGTCGAGTATTTCAATTCCTTGAGTCTATTTTTCATTGGTTTACTTTAAAATTTTAAATGGTACCCTTTTTCTTGCAAAGTATTTTGCAAGTCAAAGTAATTAAACCGAGACGGACTTCACAACTAATTCATCCAATATCTGGCAATGTACATGTATGTATCTGTGTGCATGTGGGTAATGTTATAATACACAAATAACGTCATTAGAAGTTTACACTTACCTAAGAAAATGAACATTCTTCCATCTATATTGATGGTCTAAGCCGTTCATTGTAATATGTAAAAAATCATAGAGATGAAAAGTCAGATGCTTTGAAACTTTTTAGTCTATACTTACCATGACTTAAACATGAACAGGCACGTAACTGTCTTAAAAGTCGGTTTAGAACATCATCAACATATAGGACTAGAAATATAACTTTGCTCACACCGAACTTAAGTTATATACATTGGTCAACTATGTTCTCAGAAAATCCATACGAGGAAACCAGGTTGTGAAACTTTTTTATTCCAGTAACGTGAGGCTTGTTTGAGTCCATATATAAATCTCTTAAGCTTGCAAACTTAGTTACCATCATTCATTATGTGTGGACTGTGAATTCTCATTTCAGCTCGAAAGCCAGTGGTTCATTATTGGTTCCTTTGTTCTTTTCTATATTTTCAGGCCGAGCTAATTGAGCCTGCAGTGAAGGGAACCCTTAACGTTTTGGGTTCCTGCATCAAAACTCCATCTGTGAAAAGGGTTGTCGTAACATCATCTGTGGCTGCTGTTTTATTTAATGGAAATCCACTGACGCCTGATGTCGTAGCTGATGAGACATGGTATTCGAGTTCTGAATTTTGCAGGCAGGCAAAGGTTTGTGCAGATATCTCTACATAAATACAGAAATGTTCTTCCTGTCAGTGATTTCTATAAATAGCAGTTTGAAAGACTGAGCATGCAATCTTAATTTCATAGACTTAAGTATTTGACTGTTTACCTGAGAATCACTGAACATTTGGCTTCAAACAGTTGTGGTATGTGCTTTCGAAGACCTTGGCGGAGGAGGCTGCTTGGAAGTTTGCGAAGGAAAATTCGATAGATATGGTTACAATAAACCCAGCAATGGTTATAGGTCCTCTTCTTCAGCCAACCCTCAACACAAGTTCCGCTACAATCTTGAACCTCATAAATGGTATGTTATGATATATTTTCCTCATGAAAGATTATTATCTTGTTGATAGCCAACTTGAACTCTATATTGGGTTAATAACATATAGACTCCCCATACTAACGCCTAATTTTGAATAGACCCCCCATGCTTCTATTGTTTGCAAATAAACCCCCTGAGTGAACTTTTTTTATTTTACCCCTCAATGAATTATTTCATTTTTGGGATGCTTAAAATTATTTCCAAATTTTAAGCATCACATGTTGACTGGTGTGTCATGTACATTTATGGCGGTTCTACTTATTCGACCTTCATTGTAGGAGTATCGACATACCCCAATTCAACCTTTTGTTGGGTAAACGTCCAGGATGTTGCCAAGGCTCATATCCTAGCGTATGAAGTTCCTTCGGCAAATGGGAGATATTGTTTAGCTGAAAGTGTTGCTCACTATTCAGAGATTGTGAAGATTTTGCACGAACTGTACCCTTCTCTGCATCTCCCCCAGAAGTAAGTTAACTGCATACACCAACTTTCTTATTTACAACAGCTAAATATGGTATGGTATTGAAAATCATGCTGCAGAAGAGGAAATTTTTTCAAAATTTAACATTTTTGGATATTTTTGCAACGTGATGATGTCTGTACAGCCCTTTTTAGCTGGTAGTTTTTTCCTCGAGTGGATTTAGCTTTCTAAAAGCTTTTCAGATATCACTTTTTGTGTATGCTATATATAGGACATGTATTAATATAGTCTAATTAGTTTTAACCTGATTAATCCATCTCGTTGCACATTGGTCTTAACCAAATTCCTAATGAATTAAAGTTTGGTTGAATTTCAGGAAAACCCCTGAACTTTGGGGTGTGTTGCACTGAACCCCCAGGACTTCATAATTTCCGCAAAACCTCCCCACTAAACCTGTCGGTCTCTGCTACAATGATTGACACTGTTAAGTTAGTTATATCACGTGGTCCACACGCGACGAACATGAACAGTTTTTGGCCCTTGTCACCAATTATAATTTCGTCAATACCCTTATTTTCATCCCTCTCTTTCTTTAAAAAGGATGTTGATGAGGACATCGCACAGCCTCCACTTCGAACATATTTTCGTCGCCGTCGTCGTGTTGCCTCAACTCATATGTGGCTTTGATCTCGAGAAAGCTTAGAGTTTAGCTAGTGTTTTTTTATTTCCTCTTTATTGTATTTGCTCAATAATTTTAGTCCCACATCGGATATGGGAGTGAACTTGTAGTTGTGAAGGCCTATTTAAAGAGGCCAATTCTATGAAATAAGAAATGAATATTTGAAGAAAATTTTGTTTCATTTGTGAAACTTTGGGTAATTGATTTGATCTCCAAGATTGAGTCAATGGTGGTGAAGCCAAGGCCCGGGTTGCGATTCGTGGTCATATCTTGTTAATCTTTCAAACCCTAGTTTTCCCCAAATCTTTGTTCTTCCCCAAATTTCCCAAATCTCTTACATAAAACCCTAAAAGTCCCATCGTCCCGCATCAGATGGTTTAGGCATTTTGCCGTACCCTTTTAATTCCGTTAACGTTAAATTCCCAGAGTTCAGGGGTTTGTGAAATTTACCCAGAAAGTTTAGTAAAACATTGTCTTAGTTTCAACTCTCGTGATACACGGAATATGAATAGAATGCTTATTTTTCCTACTTTGATCGTTAGTGTTCACGTTGTGTGTGTGTTTTCTACGTACTGGATAAGCCCCTTCACTATATCTGAAAACTCCTACAGGAAAGGAAAAAGGTCATGGCATGTGCCTCACTATTCATTTTAAATAGACTATCTTTCGGTGCAATCAGAATATTTTATTAGTGTAGTTTGTTAATACTGTATCGGTGCAATCGGACTACTTTTGGTTTCGACTATCTTTTTTGCTTTTTCCTTGCTGACCTAATGCATTATGGATGCTGGCAGGTGTGCTGATGATCAGCCCTTCATGCCAACATACCAAGTTTCCAAAGAGAAGACCAAGGGACTCGGTATCGACTACATTTCTATGAAAACAAGCCTCAAGGAGACTGTCGAAAGCTTGAAGGAGAAGGGGTTTGTGAGCTTTTGAGAGGGAAAGTTCTAGCTTTTGTTAGAAAAATAAGATTCATATAGAAATATATTTGTTCGGAATTTCAATATAGATTGTTGCTTAAATTAGTACACAAAAGACTAGAGTCGTCCTTGAACTTTTCGACATACTGATGAATGATATTGTGATTCTTTAGTTGACATTTTCGTCATCCTCGAATGTGAACGAAAGTATAGCATCCACAACGTCTCGTTATTTCCCTTGTTCACCTTCTCCTCTATGAACCCTAGAGCAAAAAACCTATGAGACGTCGCTTGTTGTGTCTTCTGAGCAATCAGATACACCGATGATGATGATGACAATGAAGACAAAGATAATGAAGCAAGAAACCTACTCCAGACAATGATTTGTTTATCCTGAAACTATAAATCCTCTCAATCATGGAAAGATAATGAAGGCAAAATAAGTCAATACTTTCAGCAGGAGATGAGGTTTGTGTCTACAGAGCAGAAGAACAGCAAGAAGTAAGCAATGAGAATATGACTGAAGCAAGTGAAACAATTTTAGATGTAAGAAATGTGCATCGACAATAGCTCTTATACTGATTGTTTCCAACTCCTTGTGGGAATTATTGTTGGATTTGGTGTGGATCCAAACCTCCGCAAGCGAGGTGAGACGACCTTCAGGTGAGCTCGAAGAGCTTCAAGTGAGGAGGCTCCAGGCGAGGTCGAAGTTTAGGCGAGGTCAACGACGAGATCTGCAGGCGAGCTCGATGGCGCAAATGAGGGAGAGATCCGCAGGCGAGATCGAGGGAGATCTGCAAGCGAGGTCGAGCCAATCGGCAAGCGAGGTCAAGCGGTTGCAGGCGAGCTCAAGCGGGGCTACAGGCGAGCTCAAGGCAGGCGTGCTTCAAGCGAGGTTTGAGGCGCTGGTGAGCTCGAGCGCCAGCAGGCGAGATCAATGCTCGCAGGCTGGCGCAGATTCTGTCTCCAGCCAGTCGTTAGGTTCCCTTATAAAAGAGAACCCAGAGCCGAGATCTCCATAGCTTCTCTTCTTCTTTTCTCGTGTTTTCTCGTGGCAGCGGCGCTCTTCTTCTGCTCAATAAATTAAGCTCTTTTTCTCCAGCTCTCTCACGTGATTTTTGAGGGGAGAATTAAAAGAGGGGATTTATGAAGAGGGATCTTCGTTGTAGCTACAGTATTGATTCTTTTTGTATTTATTGAGAGATCTCAAGTTTGAGATCTGCTCTTGCATTGTAATTTCTTTGATTAATAAGAAATTGATTGTGTGGCTTTTGAGGACATAGGCAAGTTTGTCGAACCTCGTAAATCTTGATGTACTTTTTTTATACTGTGTTTCTTGCTGTTTGAGGGGTTTAGCATAGTCCCCCGTAATTCCTAACAATCGGTATCAGAGCCTAAAATGATATAGAGTCAGATTCAAGTGGGAGCAATGGCCGCAGATGAAAGAAAGGTGAGATTAGATAAGTTTGATGGAACAAATTTTAGATTTTGGAAGATGTAGGTAGAGAATTATCTGTACCAAAAGAATCTGTATCAACCCCTTTCAGGGAAAAAGCCGGAGTCTATGAAGGAAGATGAGTGGAACATTCTAGACAGATAAGCCTTCAGAGTTATCAGATTGATACTAACTCGTAATGTTACGTTTAACATAGCGAAGGAAAAGACCACAACAGGTCTTATGATAGCACTCTCAAATATGTATGAGAAGCCATCAGTCATAAATAAAATTTATTTAATGAGGTGGTTATTCAATCTGAGAATGACGGAATGCACGTCAGTAGTACAACACCTCAATGAAACTCAACACGGTCATAACAAAATTGAGTTTGATGAGAAAGTTCGAGCGTTGATCCTTTTATCTTTCCTACCAGAAAGCTGGAAAACTACAATCACGGCTGTGAGTAGCTCATTGGGAAGTAACAAGTTGAAGTTCGATGACGTTCATGACCTGGTTCTCAGTGAGGAGATTCGACGGAGAGAGTCGGGTGAAACTACAACCTCTTCAGTATTGCATACAGAGCCAAGAAATAGAAATTCAACCAGAGGGAACGGATGAGGTGAAAATAAGCCAAGGGAATGCTCCTGTGGTCGATCGTTGCTGAGGATGAACGTCGATCTCCCCCTTGCTTCCAAGCCAAAGATCTCCTCTTTGCTGCCCAAAAAGAAGAATCCAAGAGCCCAAAGCCCTTTTGACCGAATCTCTCTTTGTTGATGAGAAAAAAATTCGATCTCTCAACTCAATTGAGTTTCTGGTGGGGGGGGGGGGTGGAATAGGGTTTATGCTAATCTAATCCGATTTTATGCCAATTAAAACTAATTAATAAATATCTTAGTAAATTAGATATGCAACAAGATATATATGCAATGATATACAAACAAGGGTAAGTAAACTATTAACAAATACAAACGATATAGTGGATAAATTAGATAAAGTGAGAATGGCAATAGAGATAAACAAAATATAAGTGCACAAGCCAAACTCAAACACACAAGAAATGATCATGGAGTTCGGACCTTCCGTCCTACGTCTCCGCTCCCCACTCCCGGGAAGAATCCACTACACAACCGAGTTTTCGACGCTCACCCGAAAAACGTTTACACCATATAATATCTGTTTTTAACGCTCACCGATTAACGTTCACAATCACTCACAATGTAACTACATAAACTACCACCTCAAGTGTTGGCCTCTCACGTGTCTCCCTCAAGTACTCGAAATTACGACCTAGCTCTAGGCATTACTACCGACCCCACTCCTCTTGGGACCGACCACGTCTCTCACCTCTACACTCCTCTTGGTGTATGTATGCAATACAATGTGACCTCACAATTAAGCTCTCAATACAACAAATGATTGTTCTCTAAACAATGCGAGAACTCAATTAAGCTCAACTTAATGTTACAATCTCTCACAACTCTAATAATACTATGTATGAAAATACTAAAGCTCAATATGGGTGTGTGTAACAAATAGATTAAATAAAACAAACTAAACTCAAATAAAATTCTAGCTTATGAAAATTATGAACAAAATAATAAATAGCTAGAAATGAGTTAAGCCTGTTCTAGGCTGAAAACGCACAGTTTGTGCTGTTTTAGAGATTAACTCTGCATTTTGAGATTATAACGCTGGTTCGACCTGTGCGCTTTGACTCTGTAATGCAGAGGCGAACCTTAGGCAGGCTTGGCGAGCTTCAGGCTAAGTCCAATGTTCTGAAGCTTATGAAAATTATGAACAAAATAATAAATAGCTAGAAATAGAGTTTAGAAAAACTTCTCTATAGATAACAAGAGGGATAGAGAGAAGAGTTGAAGCTCAAACACAAATGGTTGTGAAAATTGCTTTACAAAACCAAACTTGAAACAAACACTAAAACAAACTTAAACACTCTTTAAACTTGTTTAAAAACTTTCTTAATTAGTTTCAGAAGCATGAGGGCATAGGGTATATATAGGCTCATGAAACAATCCCAAAAATAAGAAAAAACCAAGGAAAAAGACAAAAAAATGAAACAGTCACTATATAGGTTTCATATTTATATAAACTTGTAAAGTATAAAACCAAAAATGTGTGTGTCAATATATATATATATATATATGAGAGATATTTGCATTCTAATATGAAGAGACCGTCAATTTGTAGTCTCTTTTGCCAGAGCTTTGCACAAATCGTCCTCTTGTAATCTTTGTCTTGGCTCCTTGAGAATATGAGAGTCGTCAGATTGTAACTCCTGATGTTGATTATGAATGCTGTTGAATTAGAGCTTTCATCAGTTGTCGTGAAGGTCGTCAGATTGTAGCCTTCTACGTGAAAGTCCTCAAATTGTAGCCTTCTGGAAGTCGTCAGATTGTAACTTCCATCATCGGTGTTTTGATGGGGGATCATCTATCTATTATGATTTTTAGACAGCCTACAGAGGGTAATGTATAAGCTTAAAGTATCTACACACAAGTATGAACCTAAAACTAAATTACCCAAGCTTGATTGATCTTCAATGAACTCTTCTTGGTAAACTTACGGATGAAGCTTGATCTTGATTAGACTTGAATTGCAATGGCTTCATGTCGATATTCCTTCCATCCTCCAATGGATATGATTGTGAAAGCTCTAGTCCATCCAACTTCTAACTCATTATTTGCCTAGAATAAATACAAAAACATAAACACTAGACAAATAATATTAGTTGTAAATTATTTATAAAAACATTATCAAAACAAAAAGGCCAACACGAGGCAAATCAAACTAAAGAGATAGATCAAAGGATAGGAGGTCCAAGTCAATGAATCCAAGCAACAGCTCGAAGGCTATCGAGTGTTGGAATTGTGGAAAGACCGGGCACTATAAGAATCAGTACAAGTGTGCACAGAAGGAGAAGGAGGCGAAGGTAGAGGTGAATGTCACTTCCACCTCAGGAGGAGACGATGCATTAATATGCTCTTTGGAGAGCGAGGAAGAGTCTTGGGTGTTAGACTCTGGAGCGTCGTTGTAAAACCCAGTAAAATATTAAGATAATATGTGATTAATTGTGATAAGTGATTTTTATTGTGATAAATATTATTATATGATGAATGAGTATGATAGCAAGTGATTTGAGATCAAACAAGTTTGTATGTGTGAGAGAAACGAGTTAGAAACATGCACGAACAAAAAACATGCACAATAGAGATTTTCTCTGGCCAGTCGACCGCATGCATGTGGCCGGTTGACCAACGAGACTTTTTCCATCCTGGTTTGAGTTGGATTTCGGGTCAATTTGCTTCTTTTCGGGTTTGTCTCCATATAAAATCATGTTTTTTTCATGAAAATTAAGTTTTTCTAAGATATTCCTGAACCCTAGTAGCCACATTCTCCCCTCAAAAATCCTAGATCTTTTTCTTGCAAGATTTAAGAACTTTGTGAAGAGAATTACGATGTGAGGGCGAGATCGATTGGCGTGTGGCTAAGGAATCTGATTTGTGGTTGCACCTTTTGAGTTTTTTCAGCAGAGATTTTAGGCGAGCATCATCTCTTCCAACCCTACACCCATTTTAAATTGTTTTATTGAGTTTTGGTTTGGTTTTATGAGCCTGAAACCTATTTTCGTGCATAAAAACAGTTCCTTTATAGTATATGGTATAAAGACCTGATCTTTTTATGTTTAAAAGATTACAAACAAATTCTCTGAAGTAGATTAAGA